AACCTGTCCGTGCAGATGCATACATGCATTTGCATGGGTGCACGGTTGTCTTGTCCAAATGCTACATGTGTGCGTGTGTGCGTGTGTGCGTGCGTGCGTGCGTGCGTGTGTTTTGTATTCGTGCGCCTTCCGTTTAGCGTGTGCTTTGCCCCCCTCTCCCCCTCCGACTCGCCACCCATACTTTTCCCACTGGTTGTGGTTATGCATCATTCGTTTTTCTCTCTGTGTACCTGCCTGCGTTGCGCGTGGAGTGCGAGGACGGCCAACCGGCAGTATTATTATCTATGTATGCTATACTTGAATGTTCCAAGACTGACCAAATAAGTGGCTCTGCTGCTGGAGAGAGCGAGAGCGAGAGAGGGCGCGGTAATGCAAAGTGCGGCCGCCCGAGCGCAGGATGCTACCTGCATTGCAATGCTGCCTTGATGACCCCCTTCTCTTTGCTTGCCCTCTTTGTTTTTTTTCCTCCCTTTGTTTTTCTCTTTGCGTGGCCTTCCACGAGGAACACAACCGACACGAGAAGAACTCCAAGCTTAAGGGTATTACACAGTGGTGGGACGGAAGGGGCAAGGAAGAGGGCACCGCACGCTTGCGAGGCAGTCCCTAGCTTAACATAGCCTCAGGATGGAGAGTAAGGCTGAACAGCTCATGGCGGAGGCGGAGAAATCGCTCAAGGGCTTCTCTTTGGCCAAATACTTCAGCGGTGACAAGTACGAAAAGGCACGCGACAAATTCACGCAGGCGGCAACGCAGTACAAAGCATGCAACAACTACGCCAAGGCCGCCAAGGCGTATGGGCGAGCCGCTGACATGTCAAGGGCAAGCAAGAATGACGTGGATGTGACAACGGACCTTGAAGACGCCGCGAGGTGCTACGTCAAGGCCAACGACACAAAGACGGCAGCGGATTTATATGCGCAGGTGCTGGAACAGTATGAGAAGGGTCAGATGCACATCAAAGCTGCAAAGACGTGCGTCAGTTTGAGCGAGATCACGGAGGGGGCGGCTCCGATAAAGTGGCTCGAGAAGGCGTCCACGTACTACCGGATGCAGGGGTCACGGGCGTCAGCCGATGAGTTGAGGCAAAAGGTGGCAGAGGCAAAGGCGAGGCTGGGCGACTACAAAGGCGCGCGTGAGTTGTATGAGCTACTTGCGCGTGATACGTTGAACGACGCGGTGCTGCGTAGTGCGGCGCGAAAGTTGTTCTTCATGGCACTTCTAACGCAACTCGCCACATTTACAAAGGAAAACGTTATGGAGGACGTGGCCGAGTTGCGGGAGCGGTTTGAGGAGTATCAGGAGCTGGACCCGCAGTTTGACCATCTCACGCGCGAGCACATGCTTGTGAAGGCCGTCATCGAGGCCATGGAGGAGGAGAGCGTGGAGAAGATGGAGGCGGCGGTCATGGACTACGACAAAATTTGTGTCTTGGACGACCTGAAGGAGAAGATGCTTCTCCGCGCCAAGCAGGCACTCGTTGGGCGCCTTCATGACCTTCGTTAAATTTTTATTTGTACGCCTTTTTTTCTTTGTTTCTTTTTGGGCTTCTCGTTTGGTCGCATGAGTGTGTGTGTGTGTGTGTGTGTCTTTTTGTTTCGTTAAGCTTCCGCTGTTTGTCCAGCGAAGCCTGAGCGACGCGTCATCTCTCCGCCTCCGCCTCAGCTGGACGAGACCCAGTCGCCGGCCGTCGTCGCGTGAGGCATCGTTGCTGTGACGCCGCATCGTGTGGCTCCTTTGTCTCACTGCCCTGAGTAGCACTGCGGCCTCTCTCGCTCGCCGTCGTCATGTTCGCAGTGCAGCTGCCGCTATTTGCCTCCCTCCCCTTTTTATATATATTTGTGGTTGTGTGCCTGTCTGTCGTTGTGCCGGCCGCGGAAGTTAGAAAAGGGGGCGACGACGCGGGGGGCGGAGAGCCACACGCGCCTCTCATGGAGGGAGAGATGTCGTGTTGCATCTGCATTTTGCACTCTAGTGGCCTTTCATGCAGTCCCGAGCTTCTCTCCCAAGCTGCGTACGGCGTCTCTGCAATGTTTCGCTCTGTGCAGGCGTCCTCGGCGGACTTTGTCCCTTGTGTTGCCGTCCTTCGCGCCAACCCGGCTGAGGGGGTGCGGTACGCGTACACCTCCTGCGCCAGCGACGCCCCACATGATGCGGAGGAGGAGCTGAAGGACGAAAGGAGAGGCGTTTCGGAGGCAGTGAATAATGACACCGAGCGGAGACTTGGACTTGCCGCGCGCTTTAGGGGTCGCTCGGCTCTTTGTTTGCAGCGGGCCATCCTTCGTTGTGAGGATGCGGCGGAGAAGTGTGAGGAGGCGGCCCATGGCGGCGTGGATGTGTGGCGTTGCCTTGCTGGGGCGTTGTTAACCGCGTGCGGCTTCCTCCGTGCCCGTCTTGTGGGGGATGCGACGAGTGATGCGGCGGCCCTTGAGTTTGTCACTGCCCCGTCTACGCGGGGTTATTTGATGGTGTTTAGTGATGTGCACGATGCCCCTGCGTTGTCGTTTGCTTCGGAGTGTTCCTTTTCCGCTGCCGCATTGGTCCTCACAAGGCTGCATACCACCGTACATGTGTTTGGCCGTGCCGCGCTGTCTAGCGTTGCGGGAAGTCGTCTGCAGGCGCTGGCGCACTCCACGGGAGGTCTATGTGCCCCACAGTTTGCCCTCTCTCACGTGGGCTACATGCTGGACGGAGCCGCCGCGGAGACGACGTCGCACGACGGCAGTGCTGTGGGCCGGCCGGCGCGAGAGCGCCTGGTGGAGCGGTACGTGGTGCGGCCTGTCAATTTGCCGCAAGAGCCCAGCGCCATGTTCGTCGCCGACGGCTCCAACGCCAGCTATTTGGCGTGGCTGTGTCCCGCCTGCATGGCGGTAATGGTGCGGCACCCGTGGGAGGATGAGGTGGGGAGGAGCTGTCCGTACTGCCTTCTCGCCGACGGCGCTGACGGACGAAGCTGAAAAAAAAGCAACAACAACAATGTGAACGCTCTTACTTGTTTCTCTCCGCGCAAACAGGCAATATATATATATATATATATATCGCTTAATCAATGACATGCCGTGTGCTACGGTGACGTTATTAATATTGTCCCTCCTTGTAAACTTTTTTAGCCTATTGCCATATCTCTTGAGGTGCGCCGCTTCCACTTCCGTTTTCCTTCCCTTCCTTAAAACTACCGCAGTTGCAAACTGAGTGCAGGAGAGGGCGTGGCATAGATACACAGCAGTAGATAACTAAGTAAATAATACATATATATATATATATATTTATGTGTGTACACGTATACATACGTACATACATACATACGTACACATAGCCGCTGAAAGGGCGGGGGGCAAATTATATAAAAGTAAGAAGGGAGGGAAAGGGCACAAACATTGCCTTGCCGGATAGTGATCATGACCTCGGACAAAGTGAATATTGTGTCGACAAACATCTACACCATGAAGCGGGATACGAATCTTTTAGTACGGACCATCACCATTGCCCTCGTCGGGCCCACAGCAGTGGTACTTGCGGCGTACAGCAAATACACATGCGCCCTGCTTGTTTGGTTTTTCTTCTTTTTTGGAATGCTGGAGTGGTCAGGAATAATGCGACATATCAAGGTGGCACTTTTGCAAGACTCGGAGCATAGAAGAAATGAAGTCGCAGATGAGGCTCTTCCAAAGGAGTATGCCGCGCCAGTGACCCCGCATACCGCCGTAGTCATCGTCAAAACTTTTGTTTCATCTCTTATTGCATTTGCGGCCTGTATGGGGGTGGATGTTTTCCTGCTCTTCGGGACCTTTTACTTCCTTGGCTGGACCCTTTTCACGTTGTGGGGCCAAAACGGCCTAGAAAAGGGATCATTCCTTGGTAGACGAAGGATGAATAACGTAGTGGCTCAAGTCAAGCTCGTCAAGCAATTTCTCCTGTCTTTGAACAAGTCGGGATCCACAATTTCCCCACTGTTTCTTAAAGAAGAACTCCGTCTGATGGCTGATAAACAACCATCAGAGACGTCACTTAATTTCTGCCTGGAATATTTTGGGTTTGTTTGGATTGCCGGAGTGACATATCCCATACTTGCGTACGACATGGACGATTCAGGGAGGCCGTGGATCTTGGCCTCGCTTGTGAGCAACTTCGCTGTTGACATCGTGGCAATGTTGGTGGGACGTGCGATGAAGGGCATGACGCACCCGTTGCAGGAAACCATTAGCCCTAAAAAGTCGATTGAGGGGGCTGTCCTGGGGGTTATCTCAGGCGCTGTGATATTCGTTTTGATCCTACGCTCTGCCTGCGGTGGCTGCGTCCTCGCTCAGAGTTGGGGGTCAGCTCTCCTCTACTTTGTTGTCGGCGTGCTGCTGGGCATGATGGGAGTCGTCGGTGATCTCCTGCAGTCCCTGCTGAAGCGAACGGCGCGGGTAAAAGATTCGGGGTACCTAATGCCGGGTCACGGCGGTGTGCTTGATCGCATTGATGGGCTCCTTGTCGTGTTTCCTACGATGTACTGCTGCATGCGTGTTATCCAGCTGCTCTCCTGAGGCTGACGACGACCGTGCGGTAGCCGTCTTTCCCCCATAGGAACTCCGGAGGGACAAGCGAGGACGGCACTTGCTTATGCCGAGGTTGCTTGTGTTTTTTTTGTTTGGTTGTTTTCCCTGTGTGCCTTGTCGTTGTTTGTGCCTCTTGGGTGTTTCTAGACCCCTCTGTTCCACCGGAAAGGAGAATGAAAGGAAGCAAGAAGCACGCATGAAAGCTTTGGTGCATGAACGATTTTATTTTGTTTTCCCCTTCTCTTTCCTCTCTTCTTTTTTTTCTTTTCTTTTTTGACTTCTTCGCTTCTTCCTCCCGTTACTTCCGCCGCATCGTTTGATCGGGCGCTGAAGGCCGACGGCACCGCAAAAAGAAGCCGAAGCAAAAACAAAAAGGGGCAAAGGTGCAATAGGCGCGGTGCACCTTTGAGTCACCTGTGACTGCAACTGCTGCGAGGACGCGGCGACCGACGCCTGCGAAGGGGGGGGGGGGCTGTACGCACAGCGGCGGAGAGGCGCGTGGCTGCGGGACGGCATGCGCGTCAGCGGCGCGGGCCAGATGGAGGAGCTCATCGCGTCCGCCACGGCCTTTTTGCAGGCTATGCGAGATGATCAGCACGAGGGGTCACTTGCGTGGGTAGAGCGGCAACTTAAGGCCCTGTCCGAGGAGGCGACAAGGGGCAGGCCGGAGGCGGGGGCGCGCGAGGCGCTGAAGAAGCTGCACGAACGTCTTCGCTGCGGCAGCGGGGCAAAGGACGGGGGCGCAGGTGCCTCTGCTGGGGCGAGTGCGGGGGGACACGCGTACTGGTTGGGTCAGAGGCCTCTCCCCGGTTTGACGGAGGAGGAGGTGGACAGGGCCGTGCAGCAGCTGTCGGAGGAGGAGCGTCGGCAACTTGCAGAGGAATTTGCTGCACTGCGCGAGGAAGGATTTGAGCTGCTGCGTGAGGATGAGGCGGACCCGGCGCACGCGGAAGAACTGGTCGCCGGGCAGAATGCAGAAGGCCCTGACAGGGACGATGAACAGCGCACCGACGGTGATCACAGTGCAATGGACCCTGATAAAAGTGACGGTCGAAGCATGTTCTTTGGGGGAACTCTGCTGGAGTTGACTTACGACGACGACGCCTGGCCGTTAAGCGCACGACGTGAGGCGTGTGCCATGACGATGAATCACCACGGCATGGGCCAAGCACCTCTACCCAGGTTTTGTACACCCAGCACGGACAGCAGGGATGCTGTGTCTGCTGCGCCGAACTCTGTGGTTTCGCGTGCTCTCTCCTCGTGCGCCAAGCCTTCCTATGAGATGGAACAGGCAGGCTACATTCGCGATAGAGTGCGCATGATGTTGCTTGCGAATCGTGTGGCAAAGGATGTCGAGGGGGACATCATCGACGCCGCGTTGGGTGCAACGGAGGAGCTGCGTCGGGAGCGCGAGCGTCGCCTGCAGTCGCTGCTGGAGCGACAGGCGGAGTTGTTGCAGAAGGCGGTGGAGGTGATGCAGTTGCTGCAGACGCTGCATCGTCGGGCGATTGGTGAGTACGTGCGAAATCCGTACGTCATGCAGACGTGGCAACGCAACGAGTCGGCCCAGGTGTGCCAAAAGTGCCAACGCCCCTTTAACCTGTTCGTTATGCGGCACCACTGCCGTCGGTGCGGCCTCATTTTCTGCCAGCGCTGCTCCTCGTACGCCGGAATGCTCCCTGACAGGAGGGCAGAGCAGCACGTGGCCTCGGCGTGGCTGCGCCTGTGCCAGGACTGCTACGAGATCTGCTGCGAATATCAAAAGTGCGTGAGTACCGCCTCTCCGCCCCCGCGGGGGCGCTGCGAGCGAGAGAGTCGTGCCCCAGAAACCCCCTCCTCCATTTTGTTCTCGAAGTATTCTGACGAGAACGGTGTCCTTGCGGACAAACTACCACCCTTCTATGTAGTACTTCCTGAGGAGTGGTACACGGCGCGGGCGGCAACGGCGTCAGGCTGGCTGAACTCAATCAGGAATGTTCCGTATCTGCTCTGTGAGAATCTCCATGACGGGATTAGCTCCCTCACTCAGATGGCGACGCCGGGGCTGGAGCGTCTACTGTCGGTCACGACCGACACCGTGAGGCGCATTAAAGAAGAAAAGTAGACTACAGCGAGGAAGGTGCGAAGGTTTACCGGACGGCTCCTCCTCGCCCTCTCTCTAATATTATTATTATATATATATATATATATATGTGTGTGTATCTTTCTGCCACCCGCCATTTTCACCAGGGAGGGTAGCATTTGCGTGGATGATGTGTTGATCTCTTCCCTGCAATGCGGCACTTGCGTTTTTTTTTCCTTTGCCTTTTTCTTTTGCCGTGCTTCTCCCTTCTTCCCTCTGCCGTCCTTAGGTGCCAGTGGTGTGTGTCTGCGCGTGTGGGTGTGCCCGGTCGCAGGGGAATTTGTTCTTTTTGTGTGCGTGTGCGGGAGGGGAACTGCCGTGTTTGGGTTTAACGCGCACTCCCCCCCCTTTTCTTCTTGCGGCGCATGTGCGCGTGCAGGTGCGGGCGGCCCCCCTTTGTATCGGCTGTGATGCCGCCCTCAGGCCACCCCGCGCCGGACGCGGCTGGAGGTAGGGAGGAATCAAGGAAGCAGAGTGGGGCACGGGAGGAGCGGAACCATAAAATACAAGAAGAACGAATGCACAGACAAAGAAAAGGTGGGTAAAAGAGCTTGCGTGGGCGTGGCATGTCGTGCTTCACAAGATGATGAGCGTAACTGGGCGGGGGGGGGGTAGAGGAGCGAAGTAAATAGTATGTGCAAGTTGTGCTTCAGTCATGGATGATTCCCCTCTCCGTTTTATTGTTAGTGTTGCTGTAAGGCGTCTTCTTCCAGTTTTATTTGAAATGAGGCTATAGAAATGCAGGCGCCTTAGTTTTAGTGTGTGTCTTTGCTGTTACAATTCACCCGCCTTCCCTCTTCCCCCCCCCTTTTTTTTTTCTCCCCGGTGGCGGCGCACACGCCTCTGCGTGTGCATGGCTCGCTCTGCCCCACGGCGTATTTCCAGCGAGCATCACACACATGCATGTGGGTTTTGCCTCTTTCTTCACTTCGGTTCCTCCCCTCCATTCTTCACGCTCCCCTCAGTTTTTTTTTTGATGTCCTGGTTTTCATTTACGGCCCTGCTTTCTGGTGCATTGTCGTCTGCGCGTTATTGCCGTACAACTTCCCTGTGCATTTGTCCATCTCTCGCTTTTGTTTGCTGCGCTGCTGCGAGTGTGCGTGTGCGGGGGGAGCCTGCCGGTTCCATCTGCGTCCAGCGATGCCTGTGCGGCCGGTGTATGAGTGGGAGCAGACGGAGGAGGAGGTGCTGCTGCGCGTGACGATCAAAGGGTTCAAGCAGGAGGCGATCGACGTGTTCCTCTCGGATGTCTGGGTGAAGGTCAACGCGGCGCCCACGTACCTCCTCCAGCTCGACCTCCTGCACCCCATCGACGCGGCGCGGTCGACGTACCACATGGACCCGGAGGACCGCACGTGTCTGCGCCTGCGCCTCCGCAAGCAGGCGGCCGGCGCGTGGCCGGAGCTTTGCATTCGCGCGGACGAGTGCGACGCGGCCGCCGTTCGCGAGCGCCGCGCCACCGCGACGAAGCGGGCGGAGGAGGACTACAACCGCCGCCTGCAGGAGCGGGCGGGGAAGCGGGCGGAGGAGCGGCGGCGCATGACGGAGGAGCAGTGGGAGGTGGAAAAGGCGCAGCGGCGGCTTATCGAGGGCCGCGTGGCGGAGGAGCGGGAGACGGCCGAGGCCGACCTCTACGCGTGGGAGGAGGCGCGGCAGCGGCAGGCCCCGACCTCCCCGGCGGATGTCGCCGTGCCGCAGGCGGCGAAGGTGGAGGAGGCCGCCGCGCCGTGTGTGCGGCACCACGACACCGTTGTTGTCCCCGTAGAATTCACGCCAAAGCTCGCGGCAATGCCGACGCGCTCACGCGGGGAGGAGGAGTACTACCGTCGAAGTCGGTACAGGCCAACCCGCATAGAAGACAGCCCAATGTTCTGGAAGGAGCGCGCTGACAAGCACTACCAGCACCAGGAATGGCAGGCGGCGGCGGACGCCTACACGGAGTCCATCAAGCGCGATGGCGCATTTTTGACGTGTGTGTCAAACCGTGCCGCCTGCTTTATACACTTATTTGAGTACAAGCGCGCCATTGAGGACTGTACGCTGGCCTTGACGATGCTGTCAAATACTCCGGCAAGCGAGCTGACGCAGGAACGTTACCGGTATCTCATGATGAAGCTTCACGCCCGGCGAGGGGCGGCGTACTGCTGGGGGCGCTGCTGCGAGAAGGGCGTTGAGGATTTCCGCATCGCCTCCGCGTACTGTAATCCGGAGGAGGACAGCGACGTGCTGGCGGACTACCAACTCGTGGAAAAGTACATGAAGGAGCGGGGTTTACTAGAGACGAAGGATCCGTTGGAGGACAAGTTGCGAGAGGCATCTACCTTGTACTACCGAGGCAAATACGCTGAGGCTGCGGCGGTGTACCGCGACGTGCTGCAGGCGAACCCGTACGACGTGGGGGCGCGCAACAACTTGAGTGCCGCCCTGCTGCAGCAGGGACTGTTTAAGGAGGTGCTGGAGGAGACCGCACGGGTGCTGAGCTTCTGCCACGAGGTTGCGGACGCGCTGAGTTGCCCTGGGGCACTCTCCACGAACCTGGTGGACAGCGACGACGACGACGACGTGGCTGCGGCGGGGGACGAGGCTGCGGACGAGATGGTGCGGCAGCGGAATGCCGCGGCGCGAAAAGTGGGCGAGCGGAGCGGGCATGTGTACGCGCTGCTGAAGGCCTGTGTGCGGGGTGCGGCGGCGCACTGCGGGCTCAAGGACTACCGCAATGCCCTGCAGCTGCTCGAACAGGCGGTGCGCATCACACCGTACGACGACGATCTTCAGGAGGATTACAACCGTGTAGCGGAGAAGCTGCAGATGGAAACGCTCGTGGCCGCCTCAACGGCGGGATCGCAGCGGAGCTGCGGGAAGAGCTGACGCACGCACACACGCACGAGCAAACAGAAGAAGAAAAAAGAAAAAAAGGAAAACATGAGAAGAAAAATGCTTTGATACCTTTTTTTATTTTTATTATTCTTCTTCTACGATGTCCATTTGCCTCAAGCGGCTGCCGGTGGGTGAGACGACACTTTTGTCCGTTTATTATATTACGCGTGTGTGTGCGTCTGCCCCGGTATATTCGGTGTAGCTGTGGTGGCGTCCTTTGATGCGCGCGCTCTCTCTCTCTCCCCCCTGTCTCTCCTCCCTCGTGCGCCGCGGATTGGTTTGCTTCCGCTCCCGCCCAGTTCTGTTGGCAGCCCAACATTCAACTGCTGATGCTCGACGCGGAGGAGCTGGAGGAGGGGGCGGCGCTAACCGGGGCGGAGCTCCTCCACTGCCTCACGACGAGAAATGAGCGGCAGCGGGAGGAAACGAGTCGGAAGCTGCGCGAGTACACAAAGTTGCAGGAGGTCCTGGAGAGGCTTACGGAGCGGTGCCGCGTGCCTGTTTTGGCGCCCGTCGCCGGCGGAATGGCGTACTTTGAGGCGACAATGGAGTACACAAACAACATTATGGTCCTTCTCGGCGACGGCTGGTTCGCGGAGCGCAGCGCAAAGCAGGCACGCGAGATCGCGGGTCGCCGCATTGAGTTTCTTCGCCGCGAGGAACGCGTCCTTGCGGAGGAGGCGGCTGCGCTGCAGCAGCGGCAGGCCCTGTTCCTCGCGGAGGTCCCCAACGCGGAACAGGCGATGTTGGAGGCGGCGGCGTTGGAGCAGGAGGCCCCGGACCCGCAACGCGCGGACGGCGGCGCGGCGGAGGCCAGCGAGGCGCCGCTGCAGCTCGCGCTGCGTGACGCGGATTTGGCGGTGGTCGATGAGCTCGACCAGCTGACCGAGGAGGAGCTGCTGGAGATTGAGCGGGAGCTGGGGGACCGCATTGAGGACGACGAGCTTGTCGAACGTGTCATGACGGAGAGAATTATCGCAAAGAAGGAGAAGCGCGTGCGTGCGGAGCTGCGGCAGGGGCGCACGCGAGAACTGCACCTCTCCACCGCCGCAGCGGCGCCACAGCGGCGGGGGGAGGACCAGCAGCAGCAGCCACCGCCGCCGTCGCCGTCGCCGCACCCGAAACCCGCCGTGACGACGTCTGCCGCCCCCGCTTTCGGCACGCCGGGGGACATCGGCCGTGCCGCTGCGGCTGTGGTGAGCGGAACCGCGCGGGGCAATGCCAACGCTGCGGACGCCGCGGGTTCCTCGCGGCGCCGCGTCAAATTCAGCGATGTGGTCGACGTCGTCTCGCCGGAGGGCGCTGCTGCTACCGTGGCGCTTCCCCCCGCCCCCTGCCACGTCGTGGGAGATGTGGTGGAGCACGGCTTGGCGGCCACGTCGTCGTCTCCTGCGCCTGCCGCAACTGCGCCGAAGCGGAAGTCGCTCTTTCGAAGCGAAATGGAGCATTTCTCGAGGTGACAATGCACACGGTCAAGGCTGATTCTCCTTTTCAACTAACAACTGCTCCTTTTCCCTTCTTTGTCTCTGCGTGTGTGAGTGTGTGTGTGCTGCCTTTGGGTTTCATTTTTTTTATTTTGTTTTTGCTGGCGCTGACTTCTTACCCTTACGACTCTCCATGCGTTTTCGTCTCGCGAGGCTGCTGCTACTACTGCCAGTGGAGACGCGAGGACAATGGCACGCACGCAGGACGACGACTCCCCGCAGGTGCTACGGGTGGACGACCAGACGATGCTCCGCGACGTCTACCGCCTCCTCCTCGACGGCACGCGCAGCACGGCGGAGTTGCTGGAGCAGCTGGGCGGCGCCGCCTCCCCTTCCCCGGGGAGGCCACAGGGGGCTGCCGGCAAGCATGTGAAAATATCCGAGGAGGTCACCGTGTTTCACGACGCCGCCGTGGAGGAGCTGAAGCTTCCGCCGGCGCTGACGCTCTTGTACGACGCGGCCGTGGCGGAGGCCCCGGTGAGGCCGGTGGCCGGCCTCCTGCGCCTGCTGGAGCTCGCCGGAGAGCCAGGCACGTCTCCCGCGCGCGGCAACCTGCTGTACGAGGCGGGGCTGCGGCACCGGCAGAGCAGCCTGCGGTGGCGGGAGGAGCAGCGGCGGCGGCTGGAGGAGGCGGAGATGCGGGAGTGCACCTTCAAACCAGCAATCTCGGACTCCGCGAAGGGGATTACCCCCAAGGGCCTGGCGACTTTCATGGAAAAGTGCCTGGAGTGGAAAAAGACGGCGGCGATACGGCTGGGGAAGAAGGCGGCGCAGGACCGCATTAACCGCGGGGAGGACGAGTGGTTCACGCCGTGGAAAATGGAGGAGCGCAGCCAAAAATTGATCGCGGAGCTCAAAAAGAAGGGCAAGCGGCGGCGCAAGTTGTGGGAGCCCAAAAGTCCAAACAGTGCCGCTGCCGCTCGTACCGGGGCTCGCGCCTCGCCGGGTGCCACTCAGCCTCCCGAGTCGGATGCGTTGGAGACGCCTTCTTTTCACCCGGTGACACGCGCGTCCGCCGACGAGAAACGCGGCTGGCTGCAACACGCTGGCGCGGGTGACACGTCAAGGCGGAGTGAGAGGAGTGGGCGGGGCGAGCGCAGCCTGCTGAGGGCGTACCTGCAGCGCGTGGAGGCAGACAAGGCGCGTCGCGAGCAGAGGCTTGAGCAGCTGCGCGCCGACTGCGCCAGGAAGGCGCGGGAGCAGATGTACGAGGCGAAGACGGGCCAGCCCCTCTTTGAGCCAAATGCGCTACCAACCGTGCGGAAGCATGGCGTCCGCGTCGGCTTCAAGGAACTCGACGGGGAAGAGCGACAGGAGCTGCTGAAAAAAATGCGGCTCCGGCACCAGGAATACGTGCTGGCGCGGCATTTCCGTGAGGAGCGTGAGAGACGGGAGGGGAAGCCGCAGCACCCGCGCGGGCCTGACGAGGTGGTGGCCGACCTGCTGGACCAGGCGAAGCGGCGGTATCGACATGCCGAGGACGCAGTCGGCGTCCCGGCGGGGACGTTTCACCCACAAATCAGCGCACGCACGAGAAGGATAATTGCTCGAAAGTTGTGGCAACCTATACATGAACGACCTTTGCCGAGACGACCATCTCAGTCGTCGGAGGCTCCTTCCTCCTGTTCACCAAAGTCCTCTGACACGTGCTTCGAGCGCGTGTTGGCCCGCTCAGAGAACTGGGTGGAGCAGCGCAATCAGCGTGTGCAGGGCGCGCGGCTGGCTTTGGAGAAGGCGGCGGCGGCCGAGTGTAGCTTTCACCCAAACCTGGAGAGCAGCTTCGATGCGTCGTCGATCGGCGGCAACTCCGCGCAGTCGCGGGTCGTGGACCACGACGCCCTGGTGGCCAACGCCGAGGCAAGGATATGCACGGAGTTGGGGCTGCTGCGGTCGCAGGCGGCGCTGCGCGACGCGGCGTTCATGCGTGGCGTCCGCGAGCCCCTTTCGGCGGTCACGCTGGCGAGTGCCCCGAGGCCTTCCCGGAGCGGCGTGGAACGGTACGCGCGGAGCGTGTCGGCGCCCGGGTTGCCGGAGTACGCCTGCGGCGGCTCGGAGCGGCGTTGCGGCGGCGCCGTGTGCGACCGCCACGGCGAGGACGAGGACGAGGAGCTCTACGCCGGCCAGGAGGAGGTGCAGGAGCTCGCCGACGCGTGGGCCCTGCTGGACGCGCAGACGGACGCCATCCTGAGGAGCTGCACGTACTACTGACGGTTGCGGCTTCGCGGCGCGGGTGCGATGCCGTCGGGGAACGCGACACGCTCAAGCGTCCCGCTCCCCAACGCCTTTGCTCGTTGTCTCCCTTGAGCCCAAACACACACACACACACACACACATGCCACACGCGCACACATTCAAAGCAAAGGAAGGCGAAAAAGAAAAAGGACACAAAAAGGGGGAGGAACCCCTTCCGCTACTCGCTGTGCCGTACCGTGGTGCTGTGTACTCTCCCCTCCCCCTTCCAAGTACATCTCTCGTGCTATGTGGTTTATCTCGTTTTCGATTTGTTCGTTGTTTATTGTTTATCATTATTTTTTTCCCCCTCCCCCCCCCTTTTTTTTTCCCGCACCCTTCCACTGCCGCCCACTGCCGTATCGTGTCTGATTCACGTACTGCGCACATGCGTGCCTCCCCCGCCTTTCCTCCCCAAACCCTGCCACTTTTCTCGCTTGCCACGCACCCCATCGCCTCCCGTTTCTTTTTTATTTTTATTTTTCTCTTTCCCTTTCCACTGCGCGTGGCAGATCGCAATTAATACCTTGCAGCCTAACTCGCTTCCGGCAACCGCCGACACCACGAGTCCCTTTTTGCTCCTGAACAAACGGCAGCAAAGGAGCCGACAGCAGCAGCAGCAGCTAGAGAAAACGAAAAAAAAAAAGGGCAGCGCAACCGCAACAACGGCCTCAATGCCCCCGCCAAAGAAGGTGGCGGCAGACAGGGACAATGAGGAGGGGGAGGAGCTGCAGCTCGAGGAACCTGTGCCTATGAGTCCGCTTATTTCGTTGCTGCACCTGCGCCACACCTACACGTCGCAGTACGTGGAGGAATCGAAGCGTGAGGAGGCAAAGGCAGCCATACTGCGGGAGGCGTATGACCACAACATGGCACCCTACCTCCGCTTCATCTACGAATCCTTTGCCTGGGCATTGGATGAGACTCGAATGCAGGAAATGGATGCCGCCAATGCGAAGAAGCTGGCGGAGCTGGACGCACGCATCAAGGACGCGCAGGAGAACCTCGGTGACGTGGAGGTGCGTGAGGGGCTTCTCGCCAAGTGCGATCACTTCGCCCGCATTGGCGACCTGCAGGAGTGCCTAAAGTTTAACATTGAGTGCTCTGGAAAGACGCTGGCGGCGGGCCCAAAGTTGGATCTGTGCTTTCAGCGCATTCTGTTAGGAATCGCTTTCTCCGAGAACGAAATTGCCGCCAACGGAATTCGCGATGCACACCGGCTGATGAAAGATGGCGACTGGGAGCGACGCAACCGCCTCAAGGTGTATGAAGGTATCTACTACGTCTTTATCCGCGACTTTAAGCGCGGCTCTGAGCTGCTGCTGGACTCCGTCTCCACCTTTGCCGCCAGCGAGCTGATGAACTTCAACGAGTTCATCCTCATCACGGTGGTCGCGAGTCTGACGGTGCTGAGCCGCTCCGAGTTGAAGCAGCAGATTGTAGACAGTCCAGAGGTGCGGAGCGCCGACATCAAGGACGTGTTTCACCTCGTCACGGTCATCTACAACTGTCGCTACAAGGACGTCTTCCCCGCGCTCGACACCGTCTGCCACCAGCTGCGCGGCCTGGTCTACCTCTCCCAGCACGTGAACTACTTCTTCCGCGAGGTGCGTGTGCTGGTCTTCACGCAGTTTCTCGAATCCTATAGCAGTGTGACGTTGAACTCCATGAGCGCCGCCTTTGGTATTCCCCCGCCGGTGATGGATAGCATGCTGGGGACCCTCATCTCAAACGAGCGCATCGCGTGCAAGATGGACCGCGTCTCCGATAGCATCGCCACCTACCGGGGGGACACGACGAACTTCGACTACCACCGCATCGTCAAGAATGGTGACCTGTTGCTGAATCGCATTCAGAAGTTGTCTCGACTGGCGGAGATGTGACGCCCCCTCTCAAGTTCGTTACTTTGGCGTCATTTTTTTTTTCTTTCTTGTTCTTTCTCTCTTTATTTGCACCCTCCCCTCTCCTCCCCCGGAGGAGGATAAATACACCCACTCAGATTACAAACGGAAGCACCCTACGCATGTATTGCAACTGTGTCTGTAAGACCTGCGGCTTGCTTCCTTTGTATGTGGGTGTGTGTGACGAGGGGCGGCCGTTTTCAATGTGACAAGAGGAGAATGCGCGAATGCCTCTGCCCTGTTTCGGCGCCGGCACTCTGCTGACCCCGCCTTCGTGTGTCTCCTGTCATATGCAGGGGCGCTCCTTTTCCTGCGCAGCTTTTCCCTTCCTTTCTTTTTTCTTCTTCCTTCATTCTGCCGTCTTGGTGGTCCCTCCTTTGCTCAGTTCGTGCGCGGCAATGGCGAAGGGTGTGCTGCGGCGGAAACCGACACCCTCCGCCCTTCGAAAGAAGAAGGCGCAACAGCGGATTCGAAAGCAGCTGCGGCGCAGGCAGGAGAAGAAGCGGCCAAGCTGGAAGGCCGCCATAGCGAAGTCGTACGCCGACGACCCCAAAGCCGGAGGAAAGGCAAAGGAGCCCTTCGGGAAAAATAAGCGCAAGCGCCCGCGTGACGATGCCGAGGCCGCCGACGAGGAGGGTGAGGTGCAGAGTGACGTAGACGAGGAGAAGCAGGAGCGCATGAACCAGCGAGACCCGCTTGAGACGCAGCTGTTCCTCAAGCGGCTGCCGTTAGACACCTCGGAGGAGGAGATGATGAAGTTCTTTGCCTCCCGCTTTGGGCAGGTGCGCCGTGTGCTGCTTGTGCGCAACCGGGCGACGAGGACCCTGGCGGGGACGGGGTTTGTCCACTGCGGCTCCGTCGAGCTGGCCGACAAGATCTTTGGGCACGCGCAGCAGAACGCCCGTGAGCTTGCCGCCGCCGACCGCGCGGACTGGAAGGAGAAGACGACGGATCTCTCGCACTGCCAGGCGAAACGGATGCGGTTTAAACTTCGCACCGACGCGTTCATGTCGCGGGATCCGTTTTTAACGATTCGCGAGACACGCTTCACGGTGCACCGCGTGCTGTCGAGAAGCGACTCGCATGAGGCCTCCGCGGCGCTGCAGAAAAAGCAAAAACGAACAAAGGTGGCCGCCGATGACCCACGTCACCTGTACCTGCTGCGGGAGGGGCTTATTCTCCCCGACACCCCCGCCGCGCGGGGCCTGCATCCGCAGTACCTTGCCATGATTGAGCAGGACTACGAGGCCCGCAAGAACCAGCTGCGCAACAGCAACATGTTTGTCAGCACGACCCGCCTGAATGTGCGCAACCTGCCACGGACGATGTCCGAGAAGGAGCTGCGGGCCCTGTTTGCCGCCCAAGTGCGCTCCTTCCTCAAGGCGAACAAGAACTGCGTTGAGAAGGACAAGTGGGGGAAGTACGGCCCGATCAAAAACGTCAAGTTGGTGAAGGACTCCGCGGGCACCTCGAAGGGGTACGCCTTCATTGAGTTTGTCAACCACCCCATAGCCCTGCACGCGCTGCGCACAATCAACAACAACCCCACCCTCTTCGGGGACAACCGGCGCCTGATGGTTTCCTTCGCCATCGAGGACGTCAACGCCATTCAAAAACTGCAGCGCATGCGGGAGCTTCGGCGCCAGCATCAAACCCCGCGTGAAGAAGGGGGGGCAGGCTGAGGGTGGGGATCAATTCCCGCCCCGCATGCCACGCAGAGGCGCAGGCCGTGAGGAGGACTTCAAACTTCCACAGGGAACCGAGTAAGCAGCACAATAGTGCGGGAGAAACAAAAAAGGAGGAGGAAGCAAAAAAGAAAAAGAAAAAAAAACGAAAAGAAAAAATAAACAAAACAAGGAAAAAACAATACAACCAAACACCCACGCACACACAAATGAAGAAGAAGATGAGAAGAGAAGCGTTTGGCCGTATTCCCTCTTTGCTGGTCTCTCCTTATTTGCTCCTGCTGTGCTCCGTTTTCCCTCGTCCCGTTTTCTTTTTGCTTTGCTTTGCGCCCCTTTGCTTCCCTCGTGCAGCTTCCATCTCGCCTCTCCTCCCGTTCTTCCTCTTTGCCCAGTCTTTCGTGAAGCGCGGTCCGAGTCGCCTTTCCTTCTTCCCCCTCCCCGCTGCTGCCGGTGGTGGAAGAGAAGGTGCAACCCAGTGAGAGAGGAAAAAAAACAACAACAGAAAAACAAACCAACCAAAGCAGGAGGGCGCGTGAAGAGGGAACGCGTGGTGTGGGGAGGTTGAGGCTCTCATCCATCGCGTGGCGCGGAGAGAGAGAGGGTGCGTCTGTGTAGATATTTTTGTTGTCGCAGATGCGACCTAGCGAGGTCCCTCCGGCGGAGGGACCACCAGCGTTCCCAACGTTTCCGCTGCCGCCCGGCGATAACGACTCCTCCACACCAGGTAGGCAGTACCCTGCAGGAAATGGGCTCCAGTATGCTGCTGCTGCACAAACTTCCTCCTCCGCGGCGCCTGTTTTCGTTCAGGAGGCGCACACCCGACGTGAGGAGTACGCCAATGAGGCCATCCAAGCCACCGCAGAGCACTGGGTTCAGGAGCAAGCACGGCGTGAGACAAGGAAGCAGGCGGCTAGAATGGAATCCGACTTTGTGCTCGGCGCGGCGGTAGGGGAGGAAAGGGAGGCAAGCGAAGGTTCCCTGGAATTTGTGACGGGGCCACCCAGATTTGTCGGGCGCGTCATCTTGCTTCTAGCGGTGGGTCTCTTTGGCGCCATCCCGCTCATGTCTCCGTTCGCGTTAACGGTGCTTCTGACAGGCTGTGTTGTGACGTATGCAGCGGATTTTGCAGGATACCGACGTGGTTGCGTGCTGGCGATCATAGGCACAACCGGATTATTTGGGGTGGCGCTTTTTTTGTCCAACTTACACGCTTCCATTTCTAGTGTGGGGCCATTATGCATGATTTTAAGTTTGCTAGGATTGCTCCTCATGGCGGCCATGGCTGCGTTTTTGCACTTTCATTGGATGCAGCTATACTTCCCAGAGCTGATTTGTTTGATGGAGCGCTGCGTACTTGGGGTGACGCCGATTCTGACGTTGCCCTCCTTGCTATCCACCATCACGGCTTTGGTCGGCTCCCGGCACGCCCCTGCGTGGTTTATGGTGGCCATGTGCGTGCTGCATCGGTACTTCTACGGCCCGCTGGAGAGCAGCTTCCTCATGCGTCGACGCCTGGTTCGGGGGGAGAGGGAAACTGATGGCGCCTGTGAAGAGGAACCGACAGAGGAAGTGAAGTCGCTACAGGCAAACGGACGAGCTGAGGCGATAACTTTTACGTTGCTCTTAGTCAGCCTCCCTTCCCTGCTCTACATTTTTTTCCAGAGCAACTTCATTGATGCATGGCTGCCGAACACGCTCAATGCATTTGGTATGATCTGCGGGCCAGTTGCTTACCTTTGCTTCGATCCGAAGCGTAGCCTGTGGTTTCTGCTTCCGGAGAGACAGACGCTGCACCATCGAATTGGGTGTGACCCGCTTGGCGTACACGAGACCGTCGAAAAGTACCGCAACCCATTTCTCATTTTGAGCGTAGCAGTAGGTTTGCACTGGGCCATCTATCGCGTGCTTCATTCCCGCTACAGATTCCTCTTCAACGGGATGCCGCCGCCGTTTAACGCTGTCTGTTTGACCTTTGCCATGTACCTGGGATTGTATGCGGCGTACGCAGTAAAGATACTACTGGATGCTGACAAGCAGGGTAAAGATACACGTTCCACCCGATATATGGGTCAACGCGTAGCGTCAGTTGTAGCAGCCGCATTGTCGTGTATCTTCTTAGCAGTAAGTGCAGGTGTACCTGGGATTTTCTTGATTCTCATGGTGCTCTGTGTGTCCTCCGTCAACATTTTCCTGCTGGATCGTGCGAACACCGGGCCAATGCTGTCCTTTACCGTATTTTCCAGCTTACTTCTTCTGTGGTGGATGTACCGCATGTTTTCCTTCATTGTGGTGGACCTGCACGTACTTGGGGAGTCTACCACCGTCCCAACGCCTCTAGTGGCGATGAGTGTGCTGTGGTGCTACGTGCTGAGCTGCGTCGCGTTTACAGTGTCCTTCTCCACGAACAAGATTCCCTTTATCTTGGCTCTCTTCGCCCACTCGCTGCAGGTGGCGTGGGTGGAGCACGTGTTGTACTCGCAGAAGGAGGATAACGTCTACCCGGCGGTGCTGGTGCCACTTACAAGCGCCGTTGGCGTCCTCTTGGCCTCGCGGCTCTACAAGAACGAGACCCTCGGCCTCCACGAGGCCGCCCTCATCGCGGCGTCCTACATCGCAAAGCTGCTGACCTTTGTGGTGGAGGTGACGGGCTCGTACTACCTCGCGGAGTCCGCGGAGTCGGACAAGCGGTACTTCCACGCGATTGAGATTGGGCTCGCCTGGTGGTCGGCGCTCTTCGCAGGTTTTGTCGTTGTGGTGTTCGAGCTCAAGCGGGGGCGGCACCTGAGGAACACCTACGCCAGGCCGCTCACGGCGCTGTTTGTCGTCAGCGCCCTGGCAATGACGGCGAGCACGGCGCGAAACTTTCAGCGCGCCGTGTTCGAGTTCTTCACGCAGACCCGCCTTGCCGACTCGAACAGCGTGCACGTCATTTTGGGGACCTCGTTTCTCTTTTTTAGCCTTGTCACGTACCCCTTCTTCGCTCGTCATGCGGGTTTGCATACATTCATGTACCCGCTACGGACCATGGCCCGCGGGGCGCTTGCGTTGGGTGTTATTCTCCTCGTCACGCAACCCACACGAATTACAGAGCACGGAGGTGAGGTTGAGTTTGACTTTGTCGACGAGGATGTGAGTAGGTACTGTTCCGTCGCGGGCATGATGCTTCTCGTCGCGGGACGGCTTATTCCAATGACGTCGCTGCACTTTTCGCTCCGTGCCGTGTATTGGCTCCTCACCACTGTCTTGCTTTCGGTTGGGCTCGCCATGTACGTCCTTCCGGTACCGACGGTGTACCTCTTTGCCGGCATCTGTGGCTTTGTGTACTTCTCTCTACTCACGCTGGACGTGGCACACTACCGCAAGCTGTCCTCCAACGAGGGGTGGGTTGTCTACGCCGTCTCCGTCTGTTTTATGATCTTTTCGTTGATTGTCACTGGACGCGTGGACGTGCGGAAGTACGCGGGGGGCAGCCCGCTGCTGATGTGGGAGATTTACACCACCGGCCGCCGGCGGCAGCTTTCCGTGGCGGGAATCACGAGCCTGTTTATGGCCATTGTGCTGAAGTTTAGGGTGTGCGGCAAATCTCTCGTGCCCGACGCGCTGCCGCTCACGTCGGAGGTGATTGAGCAGGTGGGGCTGCTGGTGAACTACACCACCGTCATCGCCGTTTCCGCCTTGACGACGCACAACATTTGGTGCAACGGCAGCGAGCCCGGGCTGCACGTCGCGACCTCCCTCTTCCTGCTTCTGCTAGCCGACGACGGGGTCCTCTTCACGGGACTAGAGCGGGGGCACTTCCGCTACTTCCCCGTGCTGGTTTACCTCCTCGGCGTGCTCTGGCTCTGCCTCCTCTACGACGCGTACGCCGCCTCGCAGACGGTGCTGGGCGGCGTTGTGCAGTGTCTGTGGTCTGTCTTCTACGCGCTGCCGGTCGTCCCCTCGCACGTCTCGCTGCTTCTGCTGCTGTGGTTCGGGAAGAGGCGAGGGGGCACGCCGACCTCCGGCGTCCTCGCCTTCGTTGCCCTCGACATGCTCTGCCTGCTCTTCTCCGCCCGCAAGACGCTGCAGTGGATGGCGATCGTCGGCGTCTGTGGGCAGAGCGCCCGCCTGTTCGAGGCGCAGTTCTGGAAGAAGCGGCTGGAAACCGTCTTGTAGGCACCGACGGCGGCGGCGGAAGCGGGGGGGGGGGGAGAAAACAAGAAGCGCACACACAAAAAAAAAGGGAGAGAGAGAGAACGAAAAAAAAAGGAAAAAAATTAAAGAAAGAAACGTACAAGCAAACCGGGCCCCGGTGTGCGGGGGGCAAAAGAGGCGACTGCGGCGACGTGTGCCACTCGCTTAACGCAACACACGTGTGGATCCAAAAACAAAAAAAAGTTCCTGCCGTTGCGGGTGCAGGGCGCCGCCCCCCCGCGGAGGTGGAGTGAGGGGGAGAGGGCGGAACGCATTGCGCGTAGCAGCAGGAGGCCCACGGCGCAGTTGGTGCGGCAATAGCGATGACAGAGCCAAACTAAAAGAGAAGAGCAAGAGGAAGAAGAAGAAAAAGAAGCGAAGACATAGAGAGGAGGAGGGGGAGGAAACACAAAAAGGAAAACAACGAAAAAACGAAGAGGAAGGGGCGAGCGAGAGGGAGGAAGCAGAAAGTGTCCGGAGGGAAGCTAGCAGAAGTGTGAGGTGAGGCGGGCTGATGGTGTGTGACGTTTTCGCCTGAGTATTTGCGGATGCAACTGGAGCTATGACTTGCGGCGTGTTGCCCTTTGCACTGTGTTACTTCGCTGAGTTTACAATGTGGACGTCAAAAAAAAAACAATGCAAAAGAGCTATGCGCCTGCAATTTTGTCGCTGCCTCTTTGTTTCCTCTTGTGCTTGCCTAATGCGTCTACATGCATGGGCGCATGCGCACGGATGTGGGTAAACACCTATTTGGGATATGCTTATGCCTTTCATTCCTCTCTCTCCTTCCCTCTCCATTTCTCTATTAATATTCCTCTGCACGATGCACGAGGTGAGGCGTGCTGGATTCACTGTTTTCACGTGGTCGTAAACGCGCCCGCTCTGCGGCCGCCACCCGCAACGAGGTGCTGCTGTCGCTTCCACCGTCCTGGCGCCACGCATTCGCTGCAGCGGAGCCGGCGCGGGCGGAGCCGAGTGCGAGCTCGTCCGAGGAGCGGCCTTCCGCGGCGGTGGCTCACCCCGCCTGCCACGGCTCTCGACATGTACGGCCCGCGGAACCCTCCCGTGGCGAGCCCGCGCTGCTGCGTCGCACGCTGCTGCATCCACGTCCGCCTGCGTTTGTGAGCGCGGTGTGCGTTGACCTCGAGACCACGGGGTTTTCTGCGCAGCGTGACGAGATCGTCTCCATCGGTGCGGTGGAGCTGCGTTGGGACGGCACGACGCTGCGTCGTTGGGTGTTGGGCACGCGGTTCTTCTCCCGCACTGTGCGGCCGTCGCGGCCCGGCAACCCCCGCGCGGAAGCGGTGCACGGCCTCTCGCTGCAAATGCTGCGTGATGCCCCGCCGCTTGCCGACGTCCTCGCAGACTTTGCCGCATTTCTCGCCCAACTCGACGGCAGTTTGCGCCCGACGCTGCCGGGCGATGACGGGCGGCACCGCAGCCGATCCGACAATGCGGCCGCCACGACGTGTTGCACGACGGCGTCTGCTGCCTGCGGTACGCTCGCGCTGCCGCCCGTCATTGCCCACAACGCGAACTTCGACGCCTCGTTTCTGCAGCGGGCGGGGGCGGCTGTCGGCTGGCGGGTGGTGTGGGACAAAGACTCCCCGCTCACCTGCACGCAGGCGATGTTTCGCGCGCTGTACCCGCACCAGGCGGCCGACCTGACGCGCAGCTGCCAGTTCTGCGGCATTGACGCGTCGGGGAGGGACAACCGACACGACGCGCTGCACGACGCGCAACTGTGCGGACGTCTATTTCTGCGACTGGCAGACGCGTGGCCCTCGCGTCGTGCGTGAGCCACTTCTCCATGTGGGTTTTTTCCCCTCCCCCCTTCTTTTTTTTTCTGCCTGCCGCTGTTGGTGCTGCACTCCGCCTCCGCTCTGCCGGGGCGACGGGCCAGTGCAAAAAGTACGCTCGATCTGACGCGCCGTCGTTTTTTGCGTCGTTTGCCAGTAAAAAAATAAAAGAAAATGACAAAGACAAAAAACAAATGCGAACTGCCTCATACCCACTGCTCTGTCGTCTCTTTTTGCTGGCATCTGCAACGGAAGGGAAGCTCATTGCCACGCACACACGCACCCACACACGGTGCGCGGAGGAGGAGACGAGAAGGTGCCACTAGCATACGCGCGTGACCTGCACGTAGGGGTGCGGTGAAGGAGGAGAAACGAAAGCGGGGCAAAAGGGAATAAAAGCAAAAAACACATTGGGCGAGAAGGACGAAGGGGGTGGAGGCGCGGGAGTTGATAGAATTGCTTCAAAATGACAGAAGTGCGGCGTATCACCACAACCCCTGTGGATTGGGGGTCCTTCGCTGGCGGCAACGTGTTGGCCGTTTCTACAGGCCGAAATCGACGCTGTAGTATTCGCGGTAGCAGGGTGCTTCTGCTCTCGGCCAGCGGCACCGTGCTGACGGACGTAAAACTCAATGATGAGGCTGGCGAGGTGATGGATGCGGCGGACAGTGCGGCAAATGTGGTGGCCTGCTGCGCCAGCTGCGGGTCAGGCCGAGGTCGGAAGGCAACACTCGCCTTCGTTGCCGGCTCACAGCTCCTAGCGCTGCATGAGTTGCCCCCCATGAAGAGCAACGCGGAGGTGCCACGCCACTCCTTGATTTGCCTCCGCGTAGACTCCAAAGACGTTGCTATTTATACGCTTGGCACGGCTGAGTTATTTGCATGCGTGCGTGGCGACGAGGCGTGCACGGTGGATACCGTATGGAACTTTGGGAGCGCCTGCGTGCTGCGAGTGGCTCGTGGGCGCCACCCTTTGGAGTTGCTTGCGCTTCTGGATGATGGCAGCGTGGCGCTGCTTGAGGTGCGTGAGGTGGGCGACGGAACCATGCAGGGGTTTCTTCTTCACACACTGCAGCTTTCCTCCGGCGCAGCTCCAAGGGAGGCCACGTTCGCGTGTGGGTCAACGTTGTGGGTGCTCTGCGACGACCTCACGTTGCACGGGTATTGGTTTCCACAGCCTGTGGCGGGGGAGGAGGCCGCCCCGGTGCGGCTTCTCAGCGAGCAGTTGCGCCTCCCAGCGGACGCGGTGACTCCGGTAGGGGCATTCATGGCGGGCGAGAACCGCACATGCGGGGTTCACATTGTCTTTCAAACCACGACGGCGGTTTACTTTAGGGCCCTGGCGGTGCGCAGCCTTAACGGGCCCTACCAGCCACCCACCCCGGCCACGGACTGGACGCATAGCACGCTGCTGTGGAGTGGCCACGTCCACGGCTTCTCGTTTAAGCAGTGCGCGTACGAGTTGCTTGTGCAGAGCGAATTAGGTGGATCTCCCCTCTGTGTGATGTCGCTGCGGCAGAACTCCAGCGTGCTTCTCTTTGACGACTCCCAGCCTCGCCTGCTGAGTCACCAAGTCGTTCGTGCCGCGCCAGACAAACTTGCTGGGTTGCGCGTGAGCTGCGAATCCAGTGTGCAGGAGATTGAGTCGACGGCCGCCAAGGTGTCGGATCTCCCCACCACAGAGAGGGCACTTTCCCAGCTGCTTCAGATACAGCACAGTTTGGTGGCCACGCTGCACCGGGAGCGTGAGCTTAACAAGGAGATGCAGCCAGGTCAAAGCATCTCTATGCAGCTTATTAAGCGACTCCACAGTGTGTACATACGTCTGTCTGTTTATCGACTTCTGCACTCTACAGGGTTTGGTGACCGGCTTGACGTGCCACTGCGCGAGGCACTTGGACTAGAAGAGGCGCGTCACTCTGCTTGCACGTGTCAGACGGAGTTGCGCAGCCAGTTTGAACGGGAGATGGACTTGGCCCCCGCGTGGAACATGGAGGCACTGAGCCTCTGGGGATCACCTGAGGCAGCACCAGCGATGTGCATTGACGCAATCCTCGCACAGATGCGGTGCTCGGATCTTTGCTCGCTGCGGGGCGTGGTGCAGCAGATGACGACAGTGGAGCCAGCAGCAGCACTTCTTGTACTCTACTGCGTCCATGCGGGGCAACAAGAGGAGCAGCAGCAACTGGAGGAAGAGGAGTCCGCGGCGGTGCATTATGAGTCTTCCCAAGTTGACTCCATTCGTGGGGAATTCCTAGACAACTTTTGTCTGCCGTTCAGTGTGGACGTCTGGGCCTACTTGGCCTTTGTGGCGGACCACCGCTTGAACCCCACCGCGGTTGGCGCGGCGTACGGCGCTGGGTGCCCGCCCCTCCTGGACCTCGTTCCCGGCCTCATCAACGGATTGACGCACGCTGGGGCCTATGAGTTGGTGTTTCAGTTGACGGGTCCTGTGCTGACGCTTTCCAGCGTGGTGGCGATGGACCCCTCGGTGGCCGTGAAGCTTCTCTTTTTGGCCTACCGCCGTGGCAACGCCAAGGTGCTGGAGGCGTTGTACCGCCGGTCCCGTGGCACTGTCTGGAGGAATGCCGCGACCCACGCCCTCGGCATGGCGGCGCTGCAGACCGAAAGTGTGCGGCTGCTGAGCGGGCTTGTTGCACCGCAGTCGCCGGAGGAGAGCGTCGTTGAGTCTATTCTCCGCTGTTGCCCAAATGCCTCCCTGTCGAACGTGCTACTGATGGACTTCTACATCCTTATGCGGCGTTACGCGGACGCCCTGCGGATGTGTGAGAGGCTCGCCTCGTGTCATGCGATAGATGCCCAGCGGGTGCAGGTGATTGCGTTGCATTTGCGTGGCCTCATGCCGAATGGCAACACGTCCTTCGGCCTTCGCCAGGGGCTTGACGCCGGCGAGCCGGCGCGGCCGCCCGGGCCCGGCGCCTACAATGCCCAGCCCCCGCATTCGCGTCAGACGCCGCAGGTGCCTCCGCCTCACGCCTCCGCGGTCTCCGGCGGTCCACTGAAGAGCGAGGAGCAGGAGCTTGATGAGGACGTTGCCCGCACGACGGCCCGCATTTCGGCCTGGCGCCGCGACGAGAGGCCACTGGACGCCGTTGGCGGCAGCCTCCAGCGAGACTTGAACGCGGTGACCTTCGCACCCACCCCGGTCGCCTCGCTCGGCATCGTCCACGACGGGGGGCGCGGCAGCTCCCGTCGTGACGGCGGCGGCGGTGCCGCACAGCAGCGGTTCGCGTCCGCGTCGATGCGGGTTGGGGCGGAGAGTGGGAGCGTGGGGTCCACGTCAGCGGCGACGCTGCCGCGACGCGCCGCCGCCGTCGCCGCGTCGCAGGAGCGCGAGCCGCTGCTCTGCGAGGCCATTCTCAAGCGCAGCAAAAAGCCGTGCGGGCGGGAGCGACCGTGCCCGTACCACGACAGGGCGCAGAAGTGAACTCGCGCCCGGCACTTGGGGACGACGGGAAGTCGCGGAAGTCGCCAGGAGACGCGACGAGGCACACACACACACACACACACTCACGGCGAGAAGAGGAGGAGAAATGAACGAAAAAAAATGCACCGGTAGGACGCAGAGGGGGGGACCTAAGAGGACCATCGCGCCTCAACGGCAAACAAACGAGCGAGAAGAAAACAACAAAAACTAGAAACAGGGAAGCCCAAATAAAAGGCGGAGGAGAGGGAAAAGGGAGGAGGAAGCAAAAATGACAAAGTGAAGTGCAAAAGAAGCGGGCGGAAGCGCCGTTGCCTTGGCCCCACGGCACCTGTAGAAGAAGTGCGGTTTTACCACACACACTCACACGCACGCACGCACACACACCCTCCTGCTTCTCCTACTGTGGCGCGTCTCTTTACATTTACCTCTCCGCACGTCGCGCGGCACGCGCGGTAAACGTTAACGCCTCAGGGGCACTCTCCCTTACCCCGCACCGCCTCTTTTTTTTTCTTTTGCGTTTCTTGACGCGCGGCGTCACTCTGCCGTGTTCTGTTTTGCCCCCGTTTTTTTTTTGCCCTTCCTTCCCGCATTCATCGCCTCCAGCTGTTCTGCAGGAATTGGCCTGCCGCGCCAGTAGGGTGTGGGATCTGCGGCTGCGTGACGCTGCGCACACAAGAAAGCGTTGGCCACACTTCCCGTCGCGGTGACGACGTAGCCCACGTTGCTTCACCCTGGCGAGGGAGCTGGGAGGCGGGGTGACAAAAGGGGGAAAAGAAGAAGTGTCACAGCACGGCGGAGTCGCATTGGCGAAGAAAACAAAGAAGAAAACGCAAAGTATATTCACACACACGCGCACTCACAGATACAGATATATATACATATACTTCCATATCTTCATACATCCCAGTAGCAGCAGACCACGATAGGAGGAACAACAGTAGTACTACTAGCAACAAACGAGAAGCGCGCGACGAGTGAGGGACAGGGAGGGGGGTGGGGAGGGAGGGGGAAGCGTGAAGCAGCAAAAAGGGGAGCGGGCTGTACATCAGGCTGAGCTGAGGTGAGGGGTGAGAGGTGTCGCAGGAAGACGTCTAGGAAACTGACACTTGGACCTTCCTTGCTTCTTTCCTCTTATTGCTTTGCGGCCAGAGACGCTCTGGCTAGCAGCGAAGCAGCCTTTGTTGTTTGCCCGGCAGCGGCGTATGCGTGTGCCCGCTCGCACATGACGGATCTCTACAATGAGGCTGCCTACTACCCCACTGCGGATCCGGCACGAATGGGACCAGGGATCGACTTATTCGCCGCGATACCGTACCTTTGCGAGTTTCGCTTGTCTAGGCCCCGCGTCATCTACAGGCCCCCCACCCTTGTCGACCTCCTGGCTGCAGGCGCTATTCCTGTCGAAGACGTGCCCGGACCGAACGGCGTACTTCCAACCATCACCCTCTCGGCCGAGGTCGCCCCGTGCCGAGGCAACTTCCAAGAGGCCTCGGGCACTGTCACGTCTTCTAGGTTTCTCCTCCCGCCGGAGCGCGAGGGGGCTGAGGCGATTGCGGAGGAGCTGCAACGCGGCCTGCATGACACAAGTGACCAGGAATACTGGAGTGAGGAATACTGGAGGTCACTGCAGACGGAGGAGCTGAACTTTGAGGAGAGTCCGGCGGCGGGTTTGTGTTTTCAAAGCCCCAACGGGCCCGACCCCACTCCCTCCCTGAAGGGAGTTTCTACAGCGTCAGCAAAACGACGTACGCGGGGGATGGCACGACAAGGCTATGGCCTCCCAAGTACAAGTCATTCTAGGAATGAACGTCTGGATTTGCGTGCCGTTCGCCCTCCTCGGCCGACGTCGTGTGAGTGCGGAAGCTCAGTCTCGTCGCCGCGGGGCCATCCCGCGCTTGGGCCGTCGTCGCGGGCTGGGGCGCGGATGTGCGGAGACCGCGAAGGGCGCCTGGTCCTGCAGGGCGTCAGTAGTCCGACTCAACCTGCGAGGAACGTTGCGGCCTTGGCGAACATGAGGGCCAAGGCAAAACGACCGCGACAAGCCCCAGGGTGTGTGGCGGCCTCCTTGAAGCCAAAGAGCCGTTTCGGCACAGGAGCGAGCATCGTGAAGGGGGCAGCTGCATTTAGGGTCTATCCACCTGAAGAAAAGAGCGAATCACTTCTTATCAATGCCAGTGGAACAGGTCACTTCAGCATGGCCATCTTCTCTTCGTCGAGAGAGCGCGTGGAGAGTGGGAAAATAGACGTTAAGCCAACAGCGACGGCGACTCTTCCCGACGCTCGCAACGCGAGGCCTTTCCTTTCGAGGGTCCCCATTGCAGGTCATCCCCATCCGGAGACGCTTTCGCCGGCAGTCACATCGCCCTCGCTGGCCACCCGCAAACACCCTCCCGCGGGGCGTGGGGGGCAGGGCTCCCAGAGGCGCCCCCTGGGGTCCGTCCCCTCCGGCGGCAACCTCAAGCCGAGGGGTGGCGGCAGCGAGGGCGGTAGCGGCAACAACGCCCACACAGAGAAAACGATGCCCATGACCTCTGGAAAAGACGCCACAGTAAGTCGACACAATAGTGGAGTTCTTGTGTCAGTTGAAGCAACCCATGCAGAGGAATCACAGCAAGTATTTTCTCGTTTAGAGCGGAAAGAAGTGGAGGGTGGCGAGCGTCCAGTGGCTGTTGAGGTGGGTGCACTGGGGTCTCTGCGCTCGAAGCCGCTCCTGAGGGACGGGAAGCAGACGCCAACAAAATGCTGCACGATGATGTAAAAAACGTGGGCGAGTGGATGATTTTGGCAGGAATGACTGTGACGAACACAGGCTGACGGCGGAGGCGCCATTCGTAGTGAGTTGACGGCAGCCTCTTTCTGCGCAAGGGGCGTCGTCGCCGTCGTTGAACTGCGCGGGTGGAGGAGGGGAGGGAAGGGAAGGAAATCGACGAGGAGGGAGAGGAGGGAGGGGATACAGAAGGCAACAACAGCACACACATACACACAATAAACGAAGGGAAGATGAAAACAAAGGCGGATGCTTTTGGGTGGTGTTCCCGCCGGGTGTGGCTATCCGCGCGCTCAGCGTGTAACGCACTTTCTGGAGGTTTTTTTTTTTGGTTTTCGGTGCTTTGACGTTTTTTTCCTTTCTCCTTTTTCTTTGCTTTTCTTTTTCGTTTTGCCTTCCTTCGGCCGGGGGCAGATCCAATGAAGAAGGCCAAACATTAAAAAAAAAACAACATGCGTGCCCCTTTTTCACAACTCTCCATGCCCCTTTGCGGGGTGCCTCTCACGGTCTTCTTCTTCTTTTGCCGCCGCCTTTCGCTCCCTCTCTCTCTCTCACGGTCACTATCACTTTTCCTCTTGCCGCCGCCCCTGTTCCCCATCCCTCGTTTTTCGTTTATTTGCCGTGCTGTTCCCATTTGCCGTCTCTCCTCCGCTCCTCTTCCCCCCACCTTTTTTTTCTCCCTTTCTTTTTTTGATTCCTCCTCCTTTTGCCTTGAGGTCGCAGCACGAAGGCGACACTGCCGCTGCTGTGCGCTGTCGCCGCGGCGCGTGGGCGCTGGCTCTAGAATCTACCGGGACCGGGGACTCTGCGGTCGTGCCTGTCGATGCCCCTCCCAACACCGCCGTCGCCTTCGCCGTCATGCGGCACGCGCACGAGGGCGCCGTCCCCGACCACCACGCAGGCGGCGCCGACGTTATCGTTGCGGCAGCCCAAATGCCTGTTGGAGTACGAGCGGGCCAAATCCCTGCAAGAGGGAAAAGGCGCGGGCAGCGCGATGCCCCCGGCGAACTCGAGTGGGGTTGATGCCGGTAGTCGGCCCCCGTGGCTGCCCAAGGCAATAGACAAGCTCACGACGTATCGACGTGCGCGTTCGCAGGCGCGGCAAGGCACTGGCGATGGTTATGGGATGCCTGCTAGACGCGAGGATTTTCACGCAACGCGAGGTACAACGTTTGCGGGGGCGGGAGAGTCGACGGAGCCTGCCCTGCTGGCACGACTGCCGAAGGAGATGACGGGGTACATCATAGAGATAGAGACGCAGAACCGTCAGCTTCGCCAACATGTGCTTGAGCTGCAAGAGGAGCAGCGGCAAACGCAGGCCATGTTGGGGGCAAATCGACGGCTGGCGGACGCCGTTGTTGGCAACAGCCACGCGGTTGAGGTTGGTGTCGAGGAGGACAAGAGCTACCAACATGCGACGAATGATTTCCAAGTCGCTTCTGGAGCCCTACTAAGCCAAGAGGAGCGCGAACAGTACATAAACGAGGTCCTTGCTCAGGTGGACGTTATTGTACAGGCGCATCGCAATCAGAGCGAGTCGATGATCCTCAAGTACAAGCAGGAGGCTGAATCTGCCAAACTGGCCCTTAAAAATCTCCGTGAGGCGATTGCCTTGGAGGGCGTTGATTTATCCATGCTTCCAGCGGTGCTAGCGACATTGTCTGGCCCCACGCGGGCAGCCTGCCGTGGTGAGACACGGAGAACAAACCCCAACTCGCCCACGACAACGGAGGTTGACTCCGCCATCGCCGGAATTGTGACCGTGATGAATGAGAAGTGTGCGGCGCTGGTGGGGGAGGCGGCCGACGTGGTGCTGGGGGACCTGCTGCGGGTGGAGGCCGGCGACGACGTCCCGACAGTGGTGCGCCAGTCGGTGCAGCGCGGCTTTGAGGCGTTGGCGCGCCACCTCGCCTCGGTGGTCACAGAGTACATTAAATACTCCACGGAGGAGCTGCGCTACTCGCACAAGGAGCGCGAGGCGGCGTGTCGTGAGCTGCGCGGGGAGCTGAGCGCGAGTGAGACCCGACGGCTGCGAGAGGCCCAGCACTACGAGACGGAGCTTCGCACGTTGCGTGACGAGATTCATGCGTTTCATGTGGCTGCGGCGGAGGGGGACGAGCTGAGGGGGACGGTTCAGGAGCGCGCCCTGGAGGAGTATACCGCGTTGCTTGTCGAGAGCCGCGCGGACGCGGACGCACTGCGGCGCCAGCTGGAGGAGGAGCGCTCCGACCACGCCACGACGTGCCTGCGCCTCAAGTCGAGTCTGCAGCGCCGCGGCGCGGAGTTTGAAGAGGCAGTCGTGCGGCGTGCGGAGGAACTCGTCGGGCAGCGTGAGGCACACATCGAGGATCTCCAGCAGCAGTTGGAGGCGGCGCGTCGCGCGGGGGAGGGGCGCACCAAAGGGCGCGCCACAAAAGGCGTGCAGGTGCAGGCAGCGGAGTCCATAGTGCTGGACGCGTCGAATTACATGTCAAACGTGCTCTCACTGGGATCGTCGTGGAAGGGTGCCTCGCCGCGGCCCACTGCCCGCCTCGCGACACCCACACAGTCGAAGAGTCACCCCGCGGCGGCGCCACTTCCACCCCCATTGCCGTCAACGCCCTCCGCACAGCCGCCAACGACGCCGTCCGTGCTGGGCGGGGATGACTCAGCTCTTCAACAGGACAACTCCTTTGAGGAGGAGGTGTGGGAAAAGACGATGGAGCTGCTCACTAAGTACGGCCCTCTCTCTCGGCACTAGACGGGTAGTGCTTGTTCTTGTCATTGATAAGTCTAAGCTGCCACCGGCATAATGCTTCTGCAGTGCGTGTCACCTCCCGCCCCCTTAGCGTCTGCGTGCACGGGGGATGTGTGCGCACCGCCATGGCGACGCGTCTACATGAACGTGACACATTGCATGCACGCGTTTGAGGTGCAGCAAAACGCATTGGACTTTTTCTTCTCCATTTTCTCTTGTTTGTACCAACGACGTCTTGTTTGTTTTTTCGTTTTCCGAGACATTTTTTTTGCTGTACGGGTCCGTCATCGTTGGTGCCCACCTTGCAGGTATCCTCTACTTTGAGGGATTTCTGTCTTTCTCCCCCCCTTGTTTTTATTTATTTATTTGTTATTATTGTTTTTTTGTCTTCTTTTTTCGCCTTTTTTTTTTTGGCTGCTGCGTGTGGGGCGACGAGGCGGTGCATTTTATACCGAAGAACAAACACGTAGCAGCAGCAGCGGCGGCGGCGGGAGGGAGGAGGAGGTGGTGGAGGGGAGCAGCAGCAAGCGCGCGCCGCAGTCCCCACGACGTCCACTCGGAGAGCGGCGCGGGGGATGACGCCCGCGCTGGAGGCGCTGAGCGCGTTTCTCGGCATGATGCGGCGCGCCGCCGCCGTTGGCGCGCCGATGGACCCGGAGTTCAGAGAGACCGTCGTGCGGGCCTCGGCGTCGATGGAGAGCCTGGCGAAGGGGGGACGAGCGCAGTTCGTCACCGCCCCCGTCATCTCCGTCCTTCTTAGCGCGTTTTATGCGAAAAAGACCCGTGTGGCGGGGGCCGCGCTGCCGGTACTGCAGCAGCTGCTCCACCACGGCCACATTTCCTACGACACCCCAATTGTCCTCTACGAGTCTCCGCGACATAAACAGGCGATGCGCTGCGGGGAGGCGCTGGTTTCCGCCGTGGGTGATTTCCTCGTCCGCACCACCGACGCGGCTTTGCAGCTCAAGGGCGTAGAGCTTGTCCATGATCTTGTGAGCGACGACAACTTCACCTTCTTCACGGGCGGCTGCGTCACCCGTTGTGTGCGGATATGCTTTCACATAACACTGCGGAGCTCGAACGAAGGCGCACGAGGTACGGCGCGTGAACTGCTGCTTCTCTGTGTACTCCGCGTGACACGAGCCTTTGTAGAAACGACGCCTCCCGAGCCTCACTCTGACACCTTTGCCTCTTCCACAGTCCTGTATGATTACATGCACGACGTGGAGCCGGATGCCGACTTCACGCCCATTCAAATTGAGGGTTACCCCACGCCCTCCGTTGATGACGCAGGAAGCCCTATAAGCGGCAGCCCGCCGCTTGCGCAGTTGCGGTCGTACGCAACCGAAGAGACGTCATCGTCGCGCGGCTCTTTGCAGCATCCGGAGTTTTTTTATAGCAGTCTCGACGATAGTGTGCGAACCAACACCCTGTCGATGTTTCGGGCAGACGGCACACTCCCAAGCGCCTTGAAAGACCTCCTGGGGCTCATCCGACACACCTGCAGGCTGGCTTCACGGACGTGCCGTGGCTCGGGCTCGACGAGCGAAAAGAATCCCGAGGTTCGCGTCCGTCAGCTGGCGCTGGAGATGCTAGAGGCGGTGCTCCTGGAGATTCCTCTGGCAAACAGCGACGCCGAACACCCCTGTGCGGCGTGGTTGAAGTTGGTGGTGGCTGCGGCGAAGTACGATATCCTTCGCTGCATCGCCAGGAATTTGTCGACCATCGTCCCGCCCTCCTTCTTCACCACGAGCGTGCGCATTCTCACGCTGCTGCTGCAGAAGTGTCACTACCACCTCGCCAGGGAGCTCCATGCCTTGCTGGCTGTGATGCTGTTTCCCCTGGCGCTATCCAAATTCTCGAGTTTCTCGCAGAAGCATGCGGTGCTGAGTATGGTTCACGAGCTCGTGGGCACGCCACACCTCTGCGTTTCTTTCTTTATCAACTACGACTGCGATCCAAACTTTGATGCGGCGGCCAAGTACGGCGGCATGCTCGAGCTTCTAGTCGACTTCATTGTGGAGATGACGTACACGGACTTCGTTGAACCCGAGTGGCTCTCGTTGGACCAGCAGCAGTTGCTGCGCAGTGCGTGTGCGAGTGCGACGCACAACCTGGTGGAGTCCATGCTGCGCTGGGTCTCGGAGGATCCTCGCAACTACGCGCAGCGGCAGATGCGTGAGGCGGTGGGGCAGGTGCTCCGCAAATCCACCACAGGCGCCCAATGGACCACGCGGTGGCACGAGGTGTACCTCAGCAAGGGCTGGGAGGCGGGCAGGGCGGGGCAGGGGACGAGCACGTCCAGGGTGTCCGAGGACGCGGTGTCTTTTTCTTCCTCCTCGTCGTCCGCTGGCGCGGACGCGGCGGAGCGGCCGCAGAGGTGGGGCGAGCGACAGCGGGTTGGCTACCACTGGAAGCACATTCACTGCCTGCTGCAGAACAAGCGCATTGCACAGGAGGCGCTGCAGCACGTTAATAGTGGGCGATGGCGCGAGGGGATGCGTTTGCTCGAGCAGCGGGGTTATATTTCACGCGCGGGTGAGGCAAACAAGTGGACAGAGTTTGCTCGGTTTCTCAAGACGTATCCAGGGGTTGAGAGGTCTGCGCTTTGTGCGATTTTCGAGCGGGTTCTAAAGGACTCTGACTGTGACCGCATTCTGCAAGAATACATGCAGCTGTTCTCCTATAAAGGGGTAGCCATTGATATTGCGTTGCGGGACACGACATGTGAATTCATGTCGTGGGATCGTCCCTCATTTGAGGCTCAGGTCTGGGCAGTGATTCAGCGGCGCTTTGGCGAGGCGTACGGGGCACAAAACGCGCGCTCTATCACGGTCAAGGACGCCAACGCGATGGCAGGCGTTCTTCTGTTTCTGCACACAAGTCTTCACAATGAGAATATGCGGGGCAGTCGCATGACCATGGAGGACTTTGTGCGGAACGGGAATGAGTGCGTGGAGCTGCCTTTTGCAGAGGAGGACATGCGGGACATGTACCACCGTGTGGCGCAGCAAAAGTGGGAGCTGGATGAGCTGCAACGCACGCCGCGGCAGGTTGAACTGGAGCAGAAAACGTATTCCTTCTCTGCCTGGATGGGCCAGCAGCAGCAGCAGCTGCGGCGGCCTTCCGCCGTGCTCGCCTCGGATCCGGCGGAGGAGGAGGCCTCGTTGCACGCAGGGACGAGTGCGACGGGCGGCTCGACGCGACTGTGGACAGCCACAGACGAGCCCGAGGACGCCGAGCTGCTGGCGACCGCGGTGGCGCCGTACACGACGGACCCGGAGGGGTTCAAGCTGCGCGAGTCGTACCAGCAGCGGTACGTGGATGTGGCGACGCAGCACCTGCGACGGCTGGAGTGTGAGCACCGCATGCAGCGCTTAGAGGCCTGCACCCCGCAGCCGTACATTGTGCCGCACTACGCGCAGCACGTTCGCCCAATGCTCCTGATGCTGTACCCCCATATTGCCGCAATGCTGTACATGGGCTTTCGCGTATTGGAAGAACAACCCATATCCCGCATTCTCCTTGGCACGTATGACATGCTCTACGACGTGGCGGCGGCATTTGTGGTGAACCTCTCAGGGCTGCGAGTTGCAGTGGAGCAGAGGATTCAGCGCCTGTTGGAGGACGAGGACGCCCAGCATCTTCTCCCGCCCATCCGGGGCGCATTCACACTGCCCCTGATGAATCTACTCTGACCGCCTGCAGGGCGGCGGCTTGCCGTTTCGTTCTGCCTGTAAACTCCGCGCGCTGTCCCTTTGCCTCTGTAGAGTTTTCTCTTTTTGTGCCCGCCCCCCTTCCCGCGTGGGGAGAACGCCATCAGCGCAGCGCAGTGGTGTATACATATATATATTATATATATACACACCCACACACATTGCATAGTCCTTCTCTTGTTTTACTTTTGTTTTAGTTTGACTGCGAGAACCAACCAACAAAAAACACCACAAAAAAAAACAAAAATAAAAAAAAACAGCAACGACAACAACGAGAGAGAAAACGGAAATGACGAAAAAAAATCGCCCGAGAAGAGGAGACAATATGCGCCTCGCTGGTGTATTTTTCTTTTCGTGCCTGTCTGCAGGTATGTCTTGTGTGTGTGGGTGCACCTTAGCGATGGGAATTTCCGCTGCCCCCTGCCCTGAGGCTGCCTTCGAGCCCGTGTCTATATCTCTCTCCTTCGTCTGCCTTGACTCTGTGCGTGGGTGCCTGCCGCCCCTTCCCCCCGGCATCTCGCCGTCCTCAACGCCGCTGCGGAGGGTTAACGGGACCACGGCCCGCGTCACGGCGTACTCCTCGCGAGCCGCACACACCCGTGCCACGCAGAAGGACCGTTGCGCACAGTCGCCACCTGCCACAAGGGGATGGCCGCCGACTACACGTACATGGACCCGGCCGAGCTGGCCGCCCTCTTGGATGACGCGGAGGAGTGCGCCAGCGTCGCCGTCATTGACTGCCGCGACGACGACCGTTGCGACGGCTTCATCGTGGGCTCCATTCACTTCCCGTCGCGGACGCAGTCGGAGCAGCGCATCCACGAACTCGCGGCCGCCCTGGAGGAGGAGGGCCGGACGGTGATTGTCTTTCACTGCAACCTCTCGCAGGTTCGGGGGCCGAGGGCGGCCATCCGATTTGCCGCGGCCCTGCGTGAGCGGGCGATATGCACGCTCTCCGTGTACGTCCTGCGGGGTGGTTGGGACCGCTTCTACGCGGTGTACGGCGAGAGCAGGCCGGAGCTAATCGCCTACTGAGCGAGCGCCTTCGCGGCGGCAGCTGCACCCCTGGCATCAGCGCACCGGTAGGCGAGAAGCAGGCAAGTAAGCAAACCAACAACAACAACCACCAACAACACGAAGAAAAAATGTTTGTACTTCGTCGGCTGTGCGTGCGACGCATGAGATGGTGCCCGCGTGTCCTGCCAGTGCCCTGCCGCCTCCTTTTCCCTTTACTTTCTTTTGCAGATCTTGCCAACCTGGGGAGCAACAGGCCAACACAACAATTGCGACGCAGCAGCGAAGGAGGAAGTAAAGCGAACAAGCAAACAACTGTCTACAGACAGATACACACACACACACACACACATACATACATACACGCACAAACAAACACTGATAAACAACAAGAATCAAAACGCAAATCAACTTCATAAAATTATTTATAAAACGTTCCCCACAAAACGCAAGTAAAATAAAACAAGGAGGCAAACGAGACAAATACACACACACTCTCTCTCCCTCTCTCTCTCACACACACAAATATATATATATATATATATATATATATATATATATATATATATATATATATATATA